TGATTAAGAAACAAAAATAAAAAACCCAGAATTGTATGGTTGTAATGAACAAGATAAATATTAGTGTTTCAACAGAGGCAGTCTGTGGTTTTCACGAGCCATACTTCTTAAAAAACAGCTTTTTGAAAGGTGATGTAGTATGTGAACATTACAGATATCACATCTTCAAAAAGTACCATTCATTCCCCAGTCCATACGGTCAATGAATGGAAACTAAGCTGCAAAAACAGACAAGCCATTTTGAACTCATTGTTTTGTTGATGTCACAAAAACCAACGCATTTAAATACATCTGCCATTTTTAGCCATCAGCTGATGGAAATTGTCTCACATATTTTTAATTTATATGATCAAATACAGTATTTTTCCCTGTAACTCGATTAACTATGACACTGTTGGCTCCCTGTGGGGTGAAATGCTGTGACTCTTTGTTGAGCTGCTAATAAGCAATGAGGGATGAAAGCAGTTTACACTTCTCCACAAAGACAGCTACGTTGCAACAACAAAAAAACTGCATTTAAACACAACAAAAACACTTTATGAAGGCTGACTTGCTCATCCACAGAAACGAAAATCAAGTTTGCATCTGTTTTTTGTAAATTATTTTTCCATTGAAATAAATGGTCAGCTCCATTAATATTTGGATTTCAATTAAATTTGAATACATTTGAGAAAGTTGGGACATGCATGCATGCATGCGTACGTGTTGTTTACATCTAAAAGCGTCTCTGAGTCTTTGTCTATCTCACACAGCTTCCTCTTTCGCTCATTTTCATGCTGCTTATATTGCCAGATTACTTTTGTTGGACTGAAACGGTAGAGGGAAAACTGATGGAGTGATAAACCCATGCCTGTCCAAAACATTGCAGCACACTACAATACCGCTCACTTGTTTCCCCTCAGAAGGAGGATTGGGTTGCGTATTGAGTTCGGTCTCACGCCAGCCACCACTGCTGAGGCAGCATCACATTACAGGCTAGACAAAGCCCTACAAACATGACCGCACACATCACGCTCGACCCCGCCTGCAGCCGAGCAGGACAAACGTGTGTTTCGGGGCATCCAGCAGCAGCGAGTGTGAGATCCGGCTGCTGTGAAGCGCAAGCTTCGCTTCGTGTCAGCATCGGACACACGAGCCGCATTCAATTATTAAATCAGTCATCAATTATTAGCAGAGCTGTCGCTGTGTGTAGCCTGTTTGGGGCTGAGGGGACTATTTTGGACCGCAGTTGCCTAATATATGCCCTGATTATGCATGCGTGTCCTCATAGCTGGTGAGACGAAGACTGAAGTTATTACTTGAAAGGAAAAGTTCACCAAATAATCTTATTTATACAATTCCCCAAATGTAGTCAATATTTGCAGGGTTCAAACTGTGGTTGAAATCTTGGGGGGGCCCTTGGTGGAAAGTCTGACCATTCTATGACCTATGTTGTGGTGTATACAAACTTTGCAACATATTTTTGTGAGGTTTGCCCCTGTATATTTGGAAGGATGATAAAGGTTACCAAGGAAAAAGAAATTCTTAAAAATTTAGACTGATATGGGCAATATTTATTGAGCTACACAGAAGTAATGTCTCCCAGTATGGCGTTGGGCCGTCATGTTTGCTAACGCAACATGCCAGACATCTCTGCATTGAGTTGTAGAGTTTTGTGATAGTGTCCTGTGATAATCCATCCAATGTAGCTTGAATATTCTCATGCAGTTCCTGCATTTTGTGGTAGGGGTGGAGTGTTAATAGCATGTCCGGCAGCATTTTCAGTCCTGGATAGGTCTGGCGATGCGGCTGGCCATGGCATAGTATCTGTGTCTTCAAGGCAAGCTCTTGAGACACTGCAGCATGTGGTTGAGTGGTGTCCTGTTGGAATAGCGCACCAGAGTGTGCGTTCAGAAAAGATAGGGCCGCTGCTGGCAGGACCTCATTAATGTGACATTGGGCTGTCAAAGTGCCTGTAATGAAGACCAAAGGTGATCTGGCATCATAGGAAATTGCACCCCACACCATGACACCAGGCCTTCTGGACGTGTGACGCATGACAATAAACCGTTCATCTTTGTGCTGACCACGGTGCCTCCACACACGGATTTGTAGGTCGTCTCCCCCAAGACAGAAGTGGGACTGAAAATGACCCGCTGCCATTCTGAGTCACTTCATGACAGTCACAGCACCACTGCAGTCTTTGGCAATGTTGACGTGGTGTTAAGGGCAGTCGTCGTAACGGTCTGCGTGCATGTAGTCCTGCGTTGTGCAGCCGTCTGCCAATGGCACTGGCACTAACAGCATGACTCATGGAGGTCATCACTGCTTGCTGAATGTCCGCAACCGTGGCTGTTGGGTCACTCCACGCTTGTCGGACATTCCATTGGTTCTCCCTCCACGTGGTTCTTGTAGGTCTCCCAGATCCCAACAGCATGCTATGGCAATATCTGCGCGACCGGTATGGTGCGCAATATGCTGATAGGACCATCCTGCTTCCTAGGGCCCTACAATGCAACCCGTCTCGAACTCTTCCAACTGCTTGAATTACTTTTGAACTCATACTTCACTTACAAAGGATGCTATCAACACAACAGCACGAGTCAGAATGGAAAGCACACGCAATGGGACGACCCATATATAGTCAGTCAGGTACGGCGATAAAGCCCAACCTTGCTTACATCACATGCACGGCCGACTGGAATCATTCGCATGTCTCACGATGCCAAACCTACCCACCAAGTTTGATTCCTGTCGGTTGATTCCTTCTGGGTGCAACTATTTTTTTGACGATGAGTGTATATTTCCTATGTAGTCTCAAAAGAAGTAAAGGCACATTTCAAATCAGACAAATGGGTGAAATTTTTTTCATATGTTGGTTTTTGTGCAAAAACACTTGTAGGCTGTGTGAACATTACATCGCATGCACAATAAAAACTCACTACTAACAAAACCGCATTTGTTAGCGTATGTCATGGTTGTTAACAGCATTGATTTTCTGTGTGTGTGGCTGCTGCTGAATTAAAGTCAAAAGTATTTCAGCAGTTTGAGGTGTGCTCGAGCTTTAAGCTTCTTCAGTTTTACACCAGAGTGACGTGGCTCGGTGTTCTACATTATGGTTATGTTATGAATTCAGGCTGGGTGAGTTTATAGTTTATACAAGGAGAGAAATCTTGAACAGGACGAAAACATAGAAAAAAATCAGTCATCTCATTTGAGGGTATTTATTTTGTCTGAAAATTCATATATTTTTTTAACGAAATAAGTTCAATTTTGTCTCTTACAGGAGGTTCCCTTTCCTCTAATGGGAGGTTTGAGAACCCCTCAGTTCACACCTTGCATGTTTTGCATCTGTAGTTCTGCACTGGAGGCTAACGTAGCTAATAAGTAATGGAAGCTTATACCAGCTTATGATTCCTAAATCACCGCACACCTTAAAATATGCTTTGGCATAAATTGTTAGGTATAAAAACATGTGTATGTCATTTCTGACACTCTTGCGACACACTTTTGTCCAGTTTAGCTGCTTGTTGCAGTTTGAGGCAGTTTGGGGGTATAAACTTCCATTACTTGTTCACCAGAGTTGAACATAATAATAAGTAGTTACATTTCGCTGCTGTCGGAACAAAACCTCATATCTTCAAAATGATCACTTTACAGGAGAAGGAAAAAATATACTTTACTTTTAATGTAAGTCTATATAACCAGACTTTTTTCCAGGTCCTTTTGGGCCATTTCTTTTGGTCAATTCATCATGAAATTTCCACACAATGTAAAGGGCAACAGGCATTTTTGAAATCATGTCAAAAACTGAAAAATGAAGTTTAAACAGATTTGTGTTTTAATGATTATCTTCAAATGCTAATGCTTTCACTTCATCACAAGTACATGATTGAAGAAAGCGGAGATGTTCACAAGTCTCTTCCTGCGACTCTGAGTCTTTAGTAGAGAATTTTAGTTTATTCTTATTAGCTGCATGAATTTAATGGTACAAAAGTAAACCTAAAAGTAAAACTAGAAACCTGTCAGGGTCAACACAGCTTCAGATAACGAGCCCTTCACTGTAGAAAAACTAGACTGAAACAAATAACTGAAGAGCTGCAAGCAGTAAATTGCAGTGTTTAAAGGAAAGAGGCAAAAAAACTTAAAACAGTTGGTAATTCAAGCTTTCAAGTTTTCTAGCATAATAGCTAATCCAGCTAAATTGCCAAATCCAATTTATTCCATTATTGCCATTCTGAGTCACTGACTCAAGTCACCACCTCTGGAAGAAAGGAATCTACTCTTTATTTTAGTCATTAACATTTTATTTACTAATACCTTTAATGTCTTTTTTGTTTTGTTTTTATTCTTGTATCTGTACAGCTTTTTCAATGTTTATCATTTTATTTATGACCAAAAAGTTCCAGGGACTCCATGCTCTGCACATGTTGTGTTCTCCCTGGCCTACATGCCCGACCCAGACCACGAGAACCTTTTGAATTAGTCAAAGTGTTGAATCAGATGTGCTTGATGATAAAAAGCACAAAAATGTGCATAGTGTGCAGTCGCCAGGACTGGAATTGGGAACTCCTGGTTTAGGCCATTCTAGCCAACTCTGTCGTTAGCCACATTAGCTTCACAGCTTCAGGATAAAACTAAAGAAGCAAACTTGGGACAACAATGTCTTGGGACTAGACTACTACATTTAAGGTAAAAGGAAAACTGTATGTCTGATTTTTGCCCAGCTACTCCTTTAAAATGGACTGGCTGATGGTTTTTAGTGTTGAGCAATAACAGTAAATGTATGTTTATGTATTTCTGGGTGCATAAAATAATTCAGGAACTTCCACATCAACCACAGACACCAGTAATACACCAGATTTATCTACACAAGATGTGCTAACGACATACTGTTAAGTGTTTATTTGTAATAATACTTCTTGAAGGAAAAGGTACAAACACATTTTTAGCTGTTCAGCACGTTAATTTAGGATGACATTAGTCTAACGTCTTTCTTCCTCATTTCTCTTTCCTCCCAGCCTCGTCGCTTTTCTCTCACAGGTTTGTGACGGTGCGGCGGGGCAGTCCAGCAGCACGGAGTGGTCAGATCCAGCATGGTGACCAGCTGGAGGCGGTGGAGGGCAGGTCGGTGGTGGCGCTGCCTCACAGAGACCTGGCTCAGATACTCCGGCGAGCGGGGAACACACTGCGGCTCACCATCATTCCACGCTCCAACACCAGTACGCACACCTAGCACTCAGCACAGGAGGGGGATTCAGAATGTGTTCTCTCCACAGACACGGAGTCAAACCTGTAGAGCAGCACAGTGTGAATGGGACCATAATCAGATTTAGTTTCCCCCACTTACCCCAAATGTAGTCAATCAGCCAAGCTGTGTTCGTTGTCTGTGGTGTGCTTCCTTAGTACGAGTAATGGAAGTTTATAGACCCCAGTTCAGCACTTGAATCACTAGATACTGCAGCCACAGATCCATCACAACTTTAAGCACAGAATGACTGCATGTGGGCTAAGTGGAAATCTATGTTAAACTGATTTTTTGTCAAATCATTATAAGTAAAGTTTTACAAACTGATGTGTAGCAGTTACTATTCTGATAACTTATGGATCTAGTTTCATGATGAAATTAAATCTTGGCTCCACTCAAAATATTTCTGCAAGAGGTTATGCTTTTCTAACCTTTTCTGTTCTTATTTTTCATATTTTGAAAATAGCACCTATTAAGCAGTATCTTTTTCAGAGATATATATTGATCATATCTGATTATATGCCATTTTATGTACTTGACGTTCTAAATTTACTGCATTTTATTATTAGTGAATAATAGTTTTTATTAGTTCTTATTTTTGAAGATAAGATAATAAGATTATTATTGATTAAGTCCATATTTCTAATTACTGAATTGGAAATATGTACTTCATCTTTTCCTTGCCTTGGTGGTAAGGCAGATGCAGTCATCAGCTTATTTTACACACCTGTGCAGCTTTCTGTACGACAGTTTCTCCTCTAGAGGGCTCTAGTGCTGCATATGTTTACCTTTTTATGTTGTGTCTTCATAAACATCTCTTCCCTGCTCCCTCTTCTCTCTCGGTCAGATACCTCCAACCTCTCAGAATGCACAGACTTTGATACAGAAAGCAGGTTAAGAAAAGGGCCAAGATCAAAACAAAAGGTGAGTCAGACATCTCATTGCAATTTTAATATAAATCAGGGTATAAAGAATAAATAGTATTCAAATTGCTTTAAATACGTGGATGATAAGAAGGTTAAATATGTATTAGTTTTGTAGTCTGCTGTGTCTATCATCTCTCTCTCTCTCTCTCTCTCATAGGACCCACGGTATTACAGTGTGGATTTGGAGCGAGGTCCTACTGGTTTTGGCTTCAGTCTGCGAGGAGGGAGTGAGTACAACATGGGCCTCTATGTGCTGGGCCTGATGGAGGGGGGGCCGGCATCTCGCAGCCAGAAAATACAGGTTAGTACGCACTAGGGTGGGCAATGTGATAGGTTGTTGTTGTTGTTGGTATTATCATTATTATAAATCACATTGCAATATGCTTTATCTGAGTATATCATGTACATGATACTTCTACACCGTTTTAATTAAATTAAACCAATTGTTTGACTTTTCCTCCTGTTACCTCCTGTTCCTTCTTAACGTGTATACTTTAGCAAACTCTGAATTAAAAAAAAGTCTGTGTACTTTTTCTTAGCCTCTTTTTAAATGTTGGCACAACTGTTTTGCTGATGCATTTTGTGCTGTTTGTAAATCTCAGGAAAGCTAAATATTGTGATATAGAACATGTATATCATGATACATCTACAGCAAATATAATATAAACATGCCTTAGCACAGGAACAAATGCAGTGATTCAGCTTAACACTACAGCTTTGTATCTTAGCATTACAGTGAATGTAAAAAACAGCCAAGTACTGTATAGTACACCAAACTACCCCTTTGTGACAGTTTGTGTTTGTGGTGAAAACACTGAGCAATACAAAGCTGTGCTAATTCATGTTTAGGTGAGCGATCAGCTGGTGGAGATTAACGGGGACAGTACAGCAGGAATGACTCACAGCCAGGCCGTAGAACAGATCCGCAAAGGAGGACACCGCATCCACCTGGTCCTGAAGAAAGGCAACGGCTACGTCCCGGACTACGGTGAGCACAGAGGGACTGTCAGTGCGTGGGCGGTCTTTATTTATAGCTGACTGATTAGCTTTGCCCTTTATATACTCTCTTTGGTCTCTTACCTGGTGGAGAATCTCTCTGTTTACTTTCACTGCGATGGTGATCTTTCTGTTCACCTTTTCCTAACTCTGCTGTGGGTTTTTTTTCTTCTCCCTCCCTGTTTTTTCTTTCTTCAATTTTATTTTTTTTCTGTGTTTCTCACGATCCTCCACTCTGCTGGCCTCCCCCTCTCTCGCTCTTCCTTTCTCTCTCTCTCTGTCTCTCAGTGGAGCTTTCCAGCTTATCGCTCTGCATGACCAACTCCAAGCAGGGCGAGCCTTGCTTCTATGTCATCGGCCGGACAGAAAACACGCGGTTGGTAGCCGTTCCTGTTAGTTTTCCTTTTCTTTCTTTTCGGTTTCTTTGCATTCGCATCAGTGTTTTTTGCCGCCTTTCATTTTCTCCCTGCTTTTCATCTTTCTGTGACTTCTCGAGTTGATCTTTGATCTTCATTTTGCCATATTCTTGATTTGAAACATAATAGCCAGATGTATCAAGTCAAGGACTTAAAGACTTGAGTCTGAGTTTTCTGGGTGGGTAGGGCTATCTATGCATCAGATGCATAAGCAAGCAACAGATTTATTTCTTCCTAGTCTTTCTGATAAATGTTGTTTATCAAAAAGAATGGAAGGTAATAGTTTATCTTAGATAGTATAAAGGAATTATTGTACCACTTGTGAAAAGCATGTGGAAGTGCATTGCGCATGTTGTCCAAGTACATCGGGGACCCCATTCACCACCTCCATTACAAAGTTCATGTATCCAATTACAGCAATTTGTTAAGAGCAGTGAAAGTAATCGGGACATAGTGTTCTTCTATTAAAGTTTCATTAACAGTTCTGTAAAAAAAATGTACATAATTTCACTCATACCACAAATGTAGTGAATTAAACAAGACTTCTTTACTGTTTAAAGTTAGCTACTGTTTAAAGTTAGTTTTACACTGGAGCTGCTGGAGTAATGGAGTCATGTATCATATACCAGATGCAAGCTGCACAGATAAATCATCACACGCTTTCCGTAAACCACACTGAATTGCCAAGTACTTGTACTATTTTACTATTGTTTTTTCTATATGTAAAGGCACATCTGTGTGTGTGGGTGTGTGTGTGTGTGTGTGGGTCTGTGTGTGTGTGTGTGTGTGTAAACACAATGGGCCCAGCTTGGCTAAAACGTCATGTGCGCTGTAGGCCGAATTAAGATCTGATCAGTATCCAAATAGCGAACAGAGCCCTCAATGTTTGAACAGTTTAAGCAGATGAGTTGGAGCAGATCAGCAACCAAAATAAACCTTTTTGATTAATAATCCAAAAATAAACTAACAAGATTTTCAGTTCCCCAATAAATGTTAAACCATAAATTGAACAACAGCTGCTGAGTACTGAAAAGTGCTACAGAGAGCAGTGGAGCTGGTTATACTAATGCTAATGCTAGCTTAGCAGGCTAATAACTTAGCTTAACATACCACAGAATATGTTAGATCCTGTCTTTCTGTCACTCAAATTCAGTCGCTCAATTTTGAGGCTTAATAATCTACTTGTGCCAATAGATAATCTGTGAGCCGGAAACAAACAGTATATTTGACAGTTTATGTGGAACGTAAATTTAACACAGCCAGAATTTTAGCTAACAGCTAGCTTCACAGTCCATCTCAAACAAGTTAACCACAATAGCACAGTCCAAACATCTTAAATCAGTTAACCACGATAGCGCAGTCCAGACATCTCAAACAAGTTAACCACGATAGAGCAGTCCAGACATCTCAAACAAGTTAACCATGATAGCACAGTCCAAACATCTCAAACAAGTTAACCACGATAGCACAGTCCAAACATCTCAAACAAGTTAACCACGATAGCGCAGTCCTCAAACAAGTTAACCATGATAGCGCAGTCCTCAAACAAGTTAACCACGATAGCACAGTCCAGACATCTCAAACAAGTTAACCACAATAGCGCAGTCCAAACGTCTTAAATCAGTTAACCACGATAGCGCAGTCCAAACATCTCAAACACATTGTACTCCTGTCATTAACATGTTGTAGTACACTGGACAGTTATAGGTCCAAGCTTATTCATGACATACAAAGCTAAGCTGCTTTGTAGCCCCACAAAAAAAAAAAACTTTTTCCAATACTAAGAAAGCTTTTGTTTTCAATGGAGAAATGTGAACTCTGCAATATGGTAACACATTTGACATGAATACCAAACCATATAATCTCAGTTGGCCATCCTCTTAGCACTTTTTACATCAAACTCATCAAATTGTCTTGACTGAATACATTTGGACTAAGGGGAAAATTGTGGACCCCCAGTTGTTTCATTGAACTGTCGCTTGCCCAGTTCATTAATTCCAATATGCTGTGCCTTTAGCTTCATTAGCTTAGAGGAAGCATATAGTTTTATATTTCCAGCTAGGTCCTTTCTTTCACATCCAGACCCATATCTCTCCCTCTCTTCCCCTCCCTCTCTCTCTCTTCCAGACCATGAAGGCGGAGCAGCCTCCCCCTCCTCCCTCTGCTCCGAGGAGCCGGGTGTGGCTTCAGTAGCTTTCTCCCTGACGAAGACCATCCAGAAGGAGGATGACAGAGGAGCAGAGAGAAGAGAGGGACGAAGGAAAGGAGGCGGCAGCCGAGGAGGAGCGGAGGACGAGGAGAGGAGAGGTGCTCCTGACAGTGAGAAGGGCAGGGCCGATTCAGCCAGCGTCACACCGAGCTCCCACTCAGAGAGGAAGAGAGAGAAACAAACTCAGAGTTTAACCAAAAAAGCTCCGAGAGGTGCAGCGGGAGAGGGGGAGGAGGAGGAGGGGGCGCAGAGGGGAGAGAGGGAGAGGAAAAGGGAGAAAGAGAAGAGTAGGAGTTCTGTTGACAGAAGGAGCAAAGAGAGAGGCAGAAGTATAGAAAGAGAAGAAAGAGAGGAGCGAAAAAGTTTCCATTTAAAGGAGGAGGAAGGAGACAGGCCAGAGTCGAGAAGGGGGAGGGGGAGGGACGGAAAAAGAGAGAGAAAAAAGGAGAAAGATGGAAGTATCACCACCGACCGGCATGAGTCAAGAGGGAGAAGTGAAAAGAGGGAGAGAAGAAAGGAGAGAAAGAGGGAAAATGGCAACATAACTGCAAATGAGGCCACAGAAGAGGTCACTGGAGTCACTCAGAGGCCACCCTTCTCCTTCCTCATGCCTTTGGATGATAACGCCGACCTGTCCGACGCCGACTCATTGTTCAGCTTTTCTGAGGTCAGTGTGTCGGCAGCCAGCATCTCTATGGCCGGGGCGCAGTGGTCCCTGGACCCCAGCGACCTCCAGGAGGCCCCTGCAAGCCCAGGCCTTTCCCCTGGACCCTGGCTCGTCCCCAGCCCCTACAAACTCTCTCAGGTTTTAGACGGAAACAGACTGAGCCGACGTGAAGGAGGGCTGTGGTTCTGACGAACTCTCTCTTTCTCACTCTCATACACACATATGCACCATCACCACCATCATCACCAGCCCCCTCTCATCTTAAAAAATAGAAGCCCACCTCTGTGTCCTGGTGTTTCCATCGTCAAGACGTTAACAGAATATGCAAAGAAGAGATACTGGATTCCAACCATTGCGCATGTCTCCAGTCCAGGCCAATACAAAATGTTGTTTTATCGCCACCTAGTGGCCACTGAAAGGTAAAGGAAGGAGAGAGCATGCAGCCATCACAGGATGGTTCTGATTTGCTGAAACTGCAAGGCAAGTTTGTACATGTATATGTGTGTTCATAGTGTTTTTCATAGCATGTATCAGTTATTTTTTTCTAAAATCATTTTAGCATTTTTATTTGTATAATTTTGTTTTTTCATTTATTTTCTTATGAATGCATTGAGATTCTATAACAAAACAGACAAAAAAAGAAAGATTTATTTAAGATTTTTTTGATTAGCTGCTTGCTTTCTGTGACTGGACTGTAAAGAAAAAATCCCTCTCCCCTGCCGCGTGTGGTGGTCTAGCTGTCCGTGCTGGGGAAAGGAAGGTGAAAGAACTGTTTTATTACAAGGCTAGCGAGCCATCTCAGACTTCTCCAGGTGCCTTCTGCTTCTTTAGCCGGTGTTTACCAAAAATATATATAGATATATATATAACAAAAAGAAACAAAAGAAAGAAAATAAATAGACAAAGCAAGAAAAGAATAAAGTAGCGAAGTAGAGAGTGTGCAATTCAGCATTCTTCTGCCTCTTGAACTATAAATCTTTGCAAGACTCAGTACACAAGACAGAGGAAAACTAAAAAAAAAAAAAAGAAATACTGCGCACATTCTGCAAACGGTCAGCGAGTCATTACAAGTGCCTCATGCGATATTCCTTTACGTGAAAACACTAGACTTCCCTTGAGATGTCTGAGTGAAATCAGGACCCCAGAGCTTTTTTTGGTTTTCCCATGCCATGATTATGATTTGAGTTTGAGTTCCGAGACAAACATTTCAGCGCCATTTCAGAATCCCAGCGCATTTCAGAAATAAAAAAAAAAAGAACGAAAAACGAAGGCCAAGAAGAGCCCACCTCACTCAGCCCTCCTCCAATCTGCATCAAGATTGCTGTTGCCACGCCTACCACTCAGTCTCTAGCTTCACATGGAGTTCTCATTTCAGGAGATAAAAAAACAAACAAAAAAATAAGGGCATTTTGATACTGGTCTTCTATGCATTTTGTAAGACTTACTGGTCAAAATTCTGGTGGCGTTTTTCTACCGAGGCCTGGATAAGGTAATATTGTGTACTGTTAAAGCGCAGGCGGGTTGCTGGAATGTAACTGGCATGGAACAAAAACAAAAAAAGGGAAGACTTTATAAGATCCTTAAACACACTATATGTCCAAAAGTTTAGACGCCTGCTAATGCATTCTTCTGATCTCTGAATCCAGGGTATTAATAGGGAGTTTGTCCCCCCTTTGCTGCTGCAACAGCATCTACTCTTCTGAGAAAGGTTGGAACATTGCTGTGAGGAGTTGAGCGCATTGAGCCACGAGAGTATTAGAGAGGTCAGATACTGAGGTTGGATAATTGGTTCTGGATCACAAATGCCACTCCAACTCATCCCAAAGGCACTGGATGGAGCTCCATCACTCCAGAGTAGGCCTGTCACAATTATTACATGATTGCCTAATCGCAGTTATTTGAGATGATAGCAGTTATTTAAGCTGACTGTAATCATTTTCCACAGTCGTAAAAAAGCAGAATGGTAATTGGTTGTGTTGAGGCAAATAAATGGTAATAAAAGAAACTTCTAACTAGGCGCTCAAACATATTTAGAAAGCAATGAGAGTTGGCTTATTTGTTAGCTATGTAGCTAACAGTTTTAGCATGTATGCTAGCATTCACACTAGGTGCATATATTTTCACTCTCAAGAAAAAAATAGCTAAATTATAGCTTTACGTGCTGGAACAAGAATTTATTTGTTTATTTTTTGCTTTTGTTGGTTGGTACACTACTTCTAACTTGGTGCTTAAACATGTTTAGAAGGTGCACGCAAGCTAGCTATCTAGCTAATTCTAATAGTCTTAGCACGCATGCATGAGCATTTTACCTCTACATGCTATTTACTTCTAACTTGGTGCTTGAACATGTATAGAAGGCATCTTTATTTATTTGTTAGCTATATTGCTAATTAGATTAATTAATTTGCAGGAACAAGTATTTTTTGCTTGTATTTTCACTCTCAAGAAAAAATCCAGATTTTAAATTGCTAAAGCCAATTTATTTTTCATTATTATTTATTTGTTTATTTTTTTTTTTATATTGGGTGCTCCAGCACTCGAAAACAAAACTTTTACCTTACTTTTTGAACGTGTTAATTTGTTAGGTATCTAGCTAATTCTAACAGTTTTAGCATGTATGCTAGCTTCAACCCAAGAAAAAATGCTAGCTACACATGTTTCTGTGTAATTGAGACATTTATGAGAGTGTGTGCTTTAGAGCTGGGCAATATAACAATATTACTGTTATTGTGATAATTTACATCACAATACATCGTCAGTACTTAATCACTTCCAAACCACATGTTCGATTAAATAGAGCATAAATAGTATGAATTCAAAAAAACATGTTGTGATATTACATCTTGCCATATCGCCCAGCTCTAGTGTGCATGCATACAACAATACAGGGTATCATTTCGAGTTAGTACAACCAGAGAATGGCCGTTCCATTGCTCCACAGTCCAATGCTTTTTACCCCTGTATCCAACGCATAGCACTGAGTGACGTTTGGCTCATGTGCGGCAGCTCCACAGCATCCAGTGCTTTTCTATGGAGAATATACAAATTATGTGCGCGCAGTTGAATAACTATGTCAGCATTGGGTGCACTGTAAAGTAGCTGAGGCATGTCTGGACACTTTTGGACATACAGTGTATCAAATGTACTGCAACACCAGCTTATGCATCTCTCTTTACCTCCAACTGTCTAAGCAATAAGAGGACATCGCCCTCTTCTTCTGTTTCAGTCTACGCAGCATAGCTTTACCCAAGCAATTCATAACAGAGCAGTATCTGGAAATGGTAGATAATCTCTCAGCTCTTCCTGTGAAGAAAAGCCAGGCGAGTATGTCAGTATACAACTGAAGCTACTTTGATAAATGCTTCTGCAGGCTGTGCTATGTCTTTCACATGTAATAGCCTGAAGTGCTAAGCACTTATCCAAGTATGAGTTATAAAAGGTATGTTAACGTACTATGAGTATTATAACAATCTCAACATAGCGGCCCTTCAACTGAAGATTGAAGAGCTGTTCGAGTTCACCGTCCTGATGGAGTCCTCAACCAGCCTGCGTGTAAATGTTGACTTTGTATTTGATAAACTAAAAGGGCAAAACATGATGAAATGCATCTAAGCAGTTTGTACAGAACTGGGATGAGCAATGTAAACATTTGGTAAGAATTTTTTGTTCCTTCACTTTAAAGAAATTAACTGTAGCTATGCCTTCACTGTAGCAGATCTTTGGTGTAAAGCGAGACTACTGTACATACAGAGAAATCCCAGAAAATCTATAGACTTTATACCAGAGAAGTATGTTATGAACCCTATCGTGACGTGTCAGCCACCGACATATCAGAAATTCTATATGTAGCACAGTAAATTGTATCTTTCAAGGTATGTCCACAATACTGTCTCTTATCAGCACTACTACGGCACTTAAAAAGAGGTTATAGTGCCAAATGGCTTTGAAAGAAGCGCGTATGAAAAATTTGATTCTGAAGAGATAAATATTTCAAAATTGCATGACTGTTAAATGTGCCACCTTATAGAAAAGGGACAACTTTTTTTCTTTATTTAATTTTTAGTTTCTTATGGGTATCTTAAGAGTATGATTTCGGTCGTAATGAAATGTGGTGATAGTGCTGAGCTTTTTAGGCCCCCTTACCCTGTGAAAAGAAAAAAAGCTGCTGGTTGCATGGTAATGCTTTTTGTATCAAATGGTAGGCCTGACATTAGCAGGATAGCAG